GCGGGAGGAGGGGGCCGAGCGGGCGCCCATCTGCCGTCTGCCGCGGCCGCGCTAATAGGCGTGCTGCCCGAGCAGCTGCGCCCCGAGCCGCGCGCCCCCGGCCGCGACCCCCAACTCCCGGCGGCAGGCAGGGAGGCGGCCCTACGGCGTCCTGCGGGCCCACCGGGCCACCTTGGCCAGGCTGGGACCTTCCTCCACGGTGGGACTGGGAGAGTACCGCGGCGGCCGTGAGGGCTGGACAGCGCCTTTCTCGCTCCTCCTGGCCTCTGTTCTGAATGTCTGCGACACTGCGCTCTCCCACGGGAGGGAGAGGGAGGCTGGTGCTGGACCCTCCGCCAGATCCCAGGCCATGGATCCCCAAACCCCAGTCTGTGGGAGGAGCGGGCTTCTTGGCCGGTCCTGGCTGGCTTTCTGGTGATCAGGCTAGGTCCTAGCCCAGCGGCCATGGTCTCATCCAGCTGGCCAGGCGTTCACAGAGTCGCTTTGTGGGAGGCTGGGCTCAGCCATTTTCTTTCTTCTCCGAGGATGGGCCTCTCCTGGCAGCCCAGAGGTCCGATTGGCACTGACTGCTTCTCCCTGTCTCTGGGAAGTTCCTGGGACCTAGGGCCGGTAGGGGAGAGGAGGAAGGGAAGACGGGGGTGCAGCAGTGCTGATCCCACTCGGCTGGTGCACGGCGGGGGTGGGGGTGGGGGCAGGAGGGGGCTGCTCCCGCCAGGGAGGCTGCATGCAGGCCCTTCCCAAGCCCCTCTGGGCGGCACGGAGGAGGAGCCAAGAGGTGGTGTTAGGGAGGAAAGTGGGCCAGGCCCTGGGCTCTCCCAGGAGGGCAGTGGTTGTGATGTAACTAAGGCAGCGCGTGTATGAAGGGACCCCGGGGGGGGGGGGGGGGAGGGAAGCTGCCCCCCCCCCACTGTGGGTAGACAGCCGCTGTGCCAACCGCTGTGGCCCCAAGGGATCCCCGGCAGTAGGGCAGCGCTGTTGGGAGTGGGGGTGGTGTGGCCCGGGTTCAAGGTGGGAGACAGCCGGTGTCCCTCTGAGTTCAAAATATGCATGTTTCCTGCAAGGAACCCCTGGAGTTGGTGAAATCCTCAGTGGGGGAGGGGCCTGGGGCAGCACAACGTGGGAGCAGTGAAATAATCTAATTATCGCACCGGTAAAATGTGATTATGAGGCAACATCATCGTGTGAGTGGTGACAGCGGTGAATTCTACGTGTGCCGCGCTCGCTGGTCGCCACGGGTGGGGGCCGGTCTCCGTACTCCTCATCGAGTTACAGTGTTGTACGGTTCATTACGGGACGTTTCCACCGTAATTAACAGTAACGAATACAAAAGGATCAGCCGCGCGCGTGTGTCAACACCGCGTTGCCATGTGATGTTTAGGAAACAGCTGCAAGAGGGACACAAAGCGGCGGGCCTTCTCTTCGGGTCCCTCTCCCCTCTGAGGGGAGTGGGCTCTCCCTGTAGCTGAGGCCCCCTCCCCAGGGATCTGTTGATCCTGCGTTCCTTGTGGCCTCGTCCAGGGCCCTGGGAGTGCCTGCTTCCCGGGAGGGCTGTCTCCCTGTCCCTTTTGCGGAAGGGTTGTCTGGACTTCGGTGGACGTGGGGCCCCGGGGGTGTGGGTGCACTGGGCCTGGCCACTCGGTTTGCCGGCTGGTCTTGGGCATCAAGTGCCAAGGGAGTTGCAGTTTCCCAGGCCTGTCCTTTTGCCCGGGAGATAAACGTCTGACCTTATCCGGGGTAGGCTTGCTGCCAGGAGACCTCAGTGGAAGACTGTGTGACCGAAGCTTCCGAGCGCTGCCTCCGTCCCCGGACTGCCTGTGCCCGGGTCCTCCCCGGTCCTCACGTGCGCTCTGCCTGGGGCCCTGGAAAGGGAGGGAGTCACCCAGGCGGCGGCGAGCTTCGTGCTGCCCACCCGTTGTGGGTACCCCGGCCGGCAGCCCCGAGCCAGGGGACCTGCTGCTCCGCCTCCAGATGCGGGAGTCGGGTGGACACCGCCGGCTGCCGAGCACAGGTGTGGGCAGACTGCCCCTCTGCTTGGCTGGACGCCCCTCTGGTGGCTGGTGGGATGCCGCTTGTCCCTTCTGTAGCATCTTTTCGGTGGTTCTGTCTCGCTTGTGTGCTCTTGGCTCAGCAAGCGGGTTCTGTCACTTGTGTGGGCATTAGGCCTCTGCCTCCGGGCAGCACGGGTGTGACTGAGAGGTCATCTCCCTTCTGCCAGGGCATTTCCCCTACATGGCTGTCCTCAGTGTCCTGGGGTCGCCTGTGGAGGCTGCCCTGGGGAGGCGTCGTGTTCTCCGGTGGACGGGTGGGTCTTCGGCACCTACCCACCCTCCGGTGGGGGGCAGCTGTCCCTGTGCGGGCCGGAGTCCGCTGCCGAGGCTCTGTCTGACTCAGCCCTGATCCAGGAAAGGCTTCTTCAGCTGGGGAGCAGGGGGCACCTCCAGAGGGTCCAGGTGGGGCCCAAGCAGGTCCCGGGGGGGGGTGTGTATTGTGTAAGCCATGTGGCCCCCTGGCCTTCACCTTTCCAGCCCCACCAGGAAATGGAGCAGGGCAGGGCTGCCCAACTAGAGCACAGCAGGTGTCGATGGGGTTCAGCTCCCATAAGCCAGGAGGACCCTGTGGGAGGAGGAGGAAGGTGGTGGGCTCTCAGAGCTGGGCCCACAGTAGGATGTGGAGCCTGCCCTCAGGGACCCTTTGGTAGGTGGGAGCTGAGGACAAGGTGGCAGGGGCGGGGCTTTCAGATGATGGCCAGGGCAGCTCACGAGAGAAGACGCGGGTGAGGCGGCTGCCCGCAGCTCACCTGGCTGGGCTTGAAGGCTGGAGCGTGGGCCAGGGGGAAGGATCTAGACTGCCACGCTGAGGGCACTGGGGTGTCCCCTTCAGGGTCTCCGGGGACCTTTAGGAGAATTCGTGTGGGGTGCTGGTCAGGCAGGCTGAGGAGAAGTCCTGGGGTGGGGGAAGCCAGTGAAGATGAGACTGAGGGAGGGAGGGAGAGACACAGGTGAGCTGGGAGAAGAGACAAGTGAAGGAGAGAGTCTGATAGACCTGGGAGTGACCATGGCCCAGGGCAGAGCAGATGGGGGAGCAGAGCCAGAGGCAGGAGTCAGGGAAGGTGCCTTCGGCCTGAAGGGCACAGTTGATTTTGGAAAGCTGTGTAGAAGAAGGCAGCTTGAGAGCCAGAGAGGCTGCAGGTCATGGGCCCTGCACACGGGGCTGGGGGGTGAGGCATTGGCTGGAGTGGGCCCTGGGGTGCTTTAGGGGGCTGAGGCCGGGAGAAGGGGCGTGGCCCCGGCCACAAAGGTGGACAGGGCAGGGAGTGCGGTCAGCCTCCGCTGGCCATGTGTGGACCACCTGTTGTGTCTGCGGGTCTCCCCCTGCCCCCGTGAGCCTCCGCCCTCTGTGCAGCAGGCACGGTGCAGTCCGTCTGTCCATAAGTGAGGAAGCCGGCTCAGAACTCAGTGCTTTGGCCAAGGGGAGCAGTTCCAGTCTGCTCAAGGCACAGGCTCGGTTTAAAAGTTCAGAGTAGCAGGACCCTGTTCTCAGATGGTCATGGACAGAGCTTGTGGGGAGCCCCCCCCCCCACGCCTGTCTCCCCTGGCCCCTCGGGAGCTGTCGGAGAGGCCTGTGCAGTGTCGGTCAGTGTCCCGCCCGTGACTGAGTGGGACAGATAGCATTCCAGCCCACCTTCCACAGTGCAGGCTCTCTGCCAGGAAGCCCCCCGCCTGGACCGAAGGGCTGTCCCTGGGTGGGCTGTCCCTTTCGAGGGAGGGCAGCTCGGCATGGAGGTTTCTGGGGTGGACGAGTCCTGGGGTGGGCAGAGGCCATGTGCCCAGGGTGCAGAGATGTCTCTAGGACCATCTGGGAATGGGGTGCCCCCAGCTGCAGGTGCAGAGGCTGGCTCTCACTTCCTCTAAGATGCTTGGACAGCATTGCCCACAGCCCCAAGGAGGGGCTCTGTTTCTAACGGATCCTCATAGAAGGCTGTAGGGGTGACAGCTGCCCAGGACTGGGTTTGGGCAACAGAAGCCGTGGGGTGAGGGGCTCCGGGTCCTGCCCCATTCCCAGCCTACCTGAAGGTGGCCAGGGCCATCCGGATCCTCTCTGGTTGCTGACAGGCTTGACCATGCTTGGTGAAGCATGCGTGTTGGACGGGGCCTCCAGGGCTGGCTGGCTGTGCCCCCCCCCCCCCCCCCCACCGCCCCGCCGCCCCTCCCCGACTCACCTCCTCAAGGACTGTGTGGGGCCAGCAAGTGGGTTGCTGCAGGAAGCCAGCACTGGCCTGGGCCCCGCCCAGGGGCACGTTTCTCTGGCTGTTTCCTGTCCTGGTTTACCCAGGTGTTGTGGGATGACCTCAGGGCCTGAATGTGCACTGTCCGTATCCTCTGCCTGAGCATAAGCCCTGCTCTGTGCTTGGCACCTTCAGTGTCTCTGGAGCAGACGGGTCCTTCCGGCGTCGGAGGCTGGACGCTGTGGGTGGCGCCTTGGCCATGCTGCCTGTCTGCGGACACCACGGAGCGTCTGTGACTGGTGTTGACACGACGCAGTCAGGGCACCTTCGTGGTTACCTGGTGCTCTGGCTTGGAGAACACCTGTGCCTTCAAAGCCACTGGACTCAGAGCGGGTTTCTGGGGGGACCTTGGGAGGGTAAGGCTGCTTTGAGATCAGTGCCCCAGCCAGGTGGCAATGCCAGGGGTGGGGGGAGGAGCCATCTGACCGCTGTGGCCACCCTGCCTTTGCCCACTGGGGTGTGGGTGTGCCTGGGGCTCCCCGGACCCCAGAGCTCCCTCCTGCCCGTGCCCACCTCCGGTGGACGGCGTCCTTGTGGCCGGGGAGTGCTTGCGCTTTCTGGAGGCCTGTCGCCACACAGTGAGTGCGGGGGCCACACGCGTCTCAGAGAGGAGCTTGCTGCCTGCCCGTGGCCCCACATGCTCCCCACGTTGGCTGGTCTCTCCAGCCGTGCAGGGTGGGGCCCACCGGCCTTCGTGGACACCTTGGAACTTAACGGGGTGGTCCTGTGCTGGAGGCACAGAGCAGGGGCAGCATGGACTCTGGCGCTTAGTAGCTGGTGGCTTTTGAGCCCCAGCCCCCACCCCCCAGAGCAGGGTTTCCTGCGGCTTTTGTGAAGCTCATGCTGGGAATGATGTCAGTTGCGGGGGGGGGGGGGCATCTGTTGTGGGCAGTGTCTGGTGGCAGGACAGCGGGTCCACATCTGTCAGGTCCCATCCAGGGTCTCAGGGGATGGGGGAACCCCCCCCCCTGCCTCCGGGTTCCTCTGGACTCTGCAGGAAGTGGGGAGAGCTGGTGTCTCCTACAGCCGCTCTCTGTTGGAGCCATTCTGGGTGCCTGGCCAGGTCAGCCCGGGCCTGAGATGGGCCTCCACGAGCCTGGCCCGGAGCCCCGGGTCCTGGCCGAGGACGGCCGAGCTGCCCGCGCCCTGCCTGAGGCCTTGTCCCAGCCGTGCTGGCTGGCCGAGCGGGACTGCCGCGGGCACTGGACAGGATGGAGGCTGGGCTGGGACAGAGGCTGCAGGGACAAAGCGGGGATTGTGTCGGGCCCCACCCTGAGAGGTGGCCCCGGCCTTGCTCTGCAGTCTCTGAGGGGCCAGTGTTCTGGAGCTGGGCAGCAGCGCCCCCCCCTCAGCCCCCAGAGCAGTGCTCCCAGAGGCCCCAGGGCTTAAGGGAGCAGAGCTTTTCGACCAGGGTGGTTTCCTTGCTGGAACCTGGGCTGACAGGGCCTCTAGGTGGACTCTGAGAGTCACAAAGATAAGGAGCACCACATGATATCCTGGGGGGGGGGGTCATTTTGTGAGGACAGAGCCACTTCCCCAGGTTGTCGCCACATCCTCACACACAGGCCTCCTACAGGCTCACCCCGCGAGCCTGGCCGAGGGGGACAGAAGGCTCCCCGGGCCTTATGGTTCTGGACTGGGCAGTAGTGGAGGGACTGGGGGTCCCTGGGAGCGGGGGCTCATGGCCTGCCACTGGTAATGGAGGCACCCCGGGGCACCCACACCATAGCCACCCACTGTGGGCTTAGGCGGGGCCCGAGGGTGGGCCCTGGAGGGCAGGGCTGGCCTCCCTGGCCCCAGGGCAGAGGTGGGAGGGCAGCCTAAACAGGGCCTGTGTGGCCTGAGTGACGCAGCAGGAGCCGGGGACACGTCAGGCTGCGGCTCCACATCACTGCCGTGGGCAGTTTGCGGGGGCGGCGGGAGGCCGCCTGGCCGGGAATGTGGCATCTGTGAGGCGTGGTTTGGCCCGAGTGCTCCTGGGTGACTGACTCCCGTGGCCAGCTTCAGCCTGAACTGCAGGCCGGGAGGTGATGTGGGGAGCCACTGCCTGGGCTGGCCCGGCCGGGTTGGGAGCTCACCTGAGTCCTGGCTGGCTGTTTCCCTGGGTAGGGGGCCTCCCCCAGGGGCCAAGCCAAGATGAGAAAGGCGATGGACGGAGGTGGCCACTGGGTGAAGCAGGGCTGTGGTGGGAGGCAGCTCCAAGGCAGGGTACTTAACTCACCTGGTTCTGTCTGAGACGTGGGTCCAACGGCAGACCGGGCTCACATGTCCAGCTTCCTGGGCGGTGACACCGGCCTCAGGCTCTCGGCCAGGGCCCAGCTGGGCAGGGGCAGTTGGGAGCCCAGGTCTGCGGAGGCCGGCGGAGTCCCCTTCCTGGGTGGGCAGCTGCAGGCTCTGTTAAACACTCCTTTCAGACCCTCCCCCAACCCCACCCGCCTGTCCGAGAGCCTGGGTGTAGCCCCAGGGGACTCACAGAGCTGGCCTCCTCCTGGGCACGGGGAGCACGAGGGGGCGAGTCCCCGATGCCTGTGGGGAGGAGCACCCTGGAACTTTCCAGCCCCTTTGTTCTTCAGGGTGTGCAGCTTGGTGTGTGTGAGGAGCTCAGGTCCCTTGGGATCGTTCAGGTGTGTGGGGTTGGCGCGACCCCGAGGCCTCTCTCTCACCCATCCCTCCTGCGCCCACCCCTGGCACGGGGCGCTCGGGGGCCTGGAAGGAGCGGCCGGGTGTGGGATGCTGTGACCGTCCGGGGTCTCGAGGCCATGCCCATGCGCAGGGCCCCCACCCTCTGTTCCGTGAACGGCCCAGACTGTTGATACCTGTGCGACCGCTTGGACGGTCTCACACCTCCATGGTTGTGTCTTCGCTCTCGTGTGTGATGCGGGACGTGCGGGACCGAACCCGCAGGGGACCGGTGTGTCCTGCTCGGGCCGTGTGCTGGACATGCTGCCTGAGGGGGGCCCTGGCTGGGGAGGGGGGCCGTGGGGAGAAAGGAGAGCAGATGCACTGTGGGGACAGTGGGTGGGGGCTGTCGCAAGGCCCGGCTGGGCAGCCGTGCTGGGCTGCAGGGCCGGGTCGGGGGTGGGGGGGGCAGGGAGCACAGTCGGGGCCGCAGAGTGGCGGCTGCCCCAGCCGCAGGCTCCGAGCCGGTAAGGGGCTTATCCTGCCCTTCCCTCTGCCGCACGGTGCCACGGTGCCCTGGGACGTGGCCCTGCTCCTGGGGTGTCGACCGCAGAGCCCAGCCCACCCTCGGCAGCATGAGGCCAGTTTCTCTCCCTCCCCCACACTCGGCGTTAATGGGAGGTGAGTCCTAGAGCAGCTTCAGTATTTCGGTGTGTGTCTGACAGACCCTGAAAGAGCACAGTACCAGGTCACCCTGCGAAGGTAGCTGGATTCCCCAAACCGGCAGAAATTCAGTCAGATGCTAGGTTTTTCACTTGAAGTGGCTGTTTCCCGGAGGCCCAGTGCCCACCCCCAGCCAGGCCTCTGCCCTCGCTGCCTGGAGGCCGGGACTTCGGGGGTCCGTGTCCCTAACACCCTGGCGATGCACATGCGGGTGGGGCCCCTCACTCGCAACCCCCGCCCCCTGTGTGGTAGCGGTGTGGCCTCTGTTCTTTAGTCCACAGTCCTCTATGCTTGGTGCCGGTTGCGGGGCACGGCAGGGCAGGGGCTCAGCCCTTCCTGGGGCCCCAGACCTGCCGGGTCCGGACGCATCACTGCCCGTTGTGCACACGGAGGTCCAGGCCCAGTGGGGAGCACGTGGCATGCAGGGTCATGCTGCTCCCTGGGTCCCTCCTCCCGTGCCCCCTGCTGCTGTAGGAGCGTCGATGAGGGAGGCGCCCTCCCAGTGTGGGCTGCCTGGTCCTCCCGGGCACGGGGACCCTGTCCTTGGGTGCTTTGGGCTCCCTGGAAGGGCGGACGGACAGCAGTGTGTCCAGCGACCGGAGCTCAGCCGGGGTTGGCCACGGCCCTGCCCACCCTGGGCCCGTGTTCCCGCCCTGCCAGCCCACCTGGCCTGTGGCTTCAACATGTGACTTCACTGGAGCAGCTGAGCCCCCCCGCCCTTGTGGTGTCCGTGTTTTTGGGTTTCCTGCCTAGTGTTAGGGTGCTGCTTGAGGGAGTCATGCCCACTCCTTGCCCTGCAGTCAGGGCTCATGTTGTATGTGCAAATGTATTCCTCGAGTGTGGGTGCATTTTGTGGTGGGCCATCTGACCAGGGCTGTGGTGGCCTGGAGGGGTCTCCCTTAAGCCCCTCAACTGTGTGCATGGCCTGGGCTGCCAGGAGCCCCGGTGCCCAGGAGCCAGCTCCCTGTGAGCCTTGTCCCTGGAGCAGGGCCATCAGGGCTGGAATGGGAGTGGGGTGGGGGCAGGCAGGCAGTGTTCCTGGGAGCGCCCCTCATTGGTCCTTGCCAGCAGCCTGTGGTGCCCCCACCCGGTCCCCCCTTCCTGGGTCTCCAGGGGGAGCAGTCACAAGCTCTGGGTCGTGCCCCCATCTCTGCTGCGCCATCCTTGCGGGGAGGGGGCTGTGGGGACAAGGCTGGGGCAGCTTGCTGGCCACGCTCTGACTCTGGGGCCTTCAGACTGGGAGAAGACCGCCCTGTGCCCAGTGCTGGGTGTGGGGGTGGGAGGGGCCAGTCCCTCTCCCTGGAAAGGCCTGCCCGTGGCTGGGGAGCTGTCCAGCAGGGCCGTGCTGAAGTCGGCAGCTTCCGTTCCCTGTGAGGGAGGCCGCAGCTGGCAGCGTGTCCTCAAATCTCTGCTGCCGTGGGAAGGTCCAGGTGTCTGGCAGGCTCCTGTGCCTGTCGCCTGGCTGTGGGACCGGTTCTGTGCTAACAAGGGGCAGGAGGTGGGAGCTGCCTGGGTGCTAAATGTACTTAGTGGTGGCAAGCCTTCTGTCGTGCTCCCAGGGGAGACCCTGGTCCCCAGGCTCTCCCTCCTCTTGCAGGAGGAGCCACTGGCCCAGTCTCCTGGGGGCAAGGAGAGAGCCAGGCCTCACAGAGGCTGTGGGCATGAGGGGACCTTCTCTGGCTCTGGGGTTGATTTGAGGTGACTTCCCAGAGCAGCCCCCCCACCCCCCTCTGATATTTACCTTGTATCTCTGGGGCAGGAACCTTCCGTCTGGTTCCCTTGGAGATGTGTGTGGGTGCTGTGAGGGCACAGGACAACCTGGGAGTTCTCAGCCAGTCCCCTGGCCCAATGCCCTAGAGGCTGTGGGTGCCCTGCACCGTCAGGGCTCCTTGAAGGGGAGGTCTGGTCCCCACCGTCCAGTTTTTGCCCTGCCTTGCTGCCAGCTCCCCTTGTTTCGGGGGTCGTGACCTGGGGGTGGATGAAGTGTGAAAGTGTCTACAGAACACTGGGCCATGGGTGGACGGCCTTGGGGTGTCTGAGGGGGCTGGGTTCTGGGTCACAGGTGTGGCTGCTCGAGCCCCTCACCTGGGGGGACAGAGATGTGGGGGTGTGAAGGCACCGGGTGTCACCCTCCCACAGCCCCCTCCTTGGGCCTGGACATTACTGGGAACTGGGTAGAATTCAGGAAGCCAGGCTCTCAGCCCCAAACCCGCATCCTGGGCTTGCTGGGGAGGGAGGGGGTGTGTGTCTGAGAACGAGGCAGAGGAGGGAGTGTGTCCTGTTGTTGGAGGGCTGCGGGCTTGGCGGATAGTGAAGGGTTGATGCTGGCTTATCTCTAAAGAGGCAGAGGGCTTGTCACAGATTGGAGGTTTGCTGATTCTAAACCCCAAATCCCAAGGGATTTATAACTAATCATAAAGTGGCACAGATAGAACATCCTCCAGCAGACGCCACGGAGCCACGGGGGGGGGGGGGGGGCATGTGTACACGTGGGCTGTGTTGTCCTAGGCGGCAGAACAGACATATGGAGGGCTCAGCAGGGGCTACAGGGGAGCCCCCAGGTGACGCCCAGCGGCCC